CGTCCGTGAGGATAGCCTCGGTGGTGCGAATGAAGTCGCGATCTGGAGTGGGAGCAGTCAAAAGGACGCTCACCGATGTGAAGGAGTTAAGAAGTCTGTTTGCTTACCGAAGAGAACGTCCGCTTCATCAATAATGATCCATTCGACCCTATCCAGGCTGATACGACTGGCCGGCATCCCAAGACGCTTCCCCTTGAATATCTCATCCCATGTTCTCTGGGAGCCCGGCAACACCGAACGATCCTCCAACTCCACACCACCAGACAAGCTCAATATCTTGGACGGCGTCCCAACCAGAATGTCCAACAGCCTCCCTGACCCATCGCTTGGATGTGCAGCAGCCGCCCCAGCTTCGTTCCAAGGATCGGCCTTCGTGGCCTTGTTCGGATTAGAGGTGCACCTGACACGTAGTTTGATGTTGTGGCTTAGCGCCTTGGCGAACGTTGAGATCTGCCGTGAGAGTTCGTGCGTTGGGGTGAGGATAATAGCTCGTGGTCCTGGAGTCACCCTTGGCACAACCACAGCTCCTTCAACAGTCTCACCACCGGTTTCTGACTTCTCGAGCGCCTCTGGTAACGCAGAAGCTCTCCACGCTATCTCTGTCTCTTTGAGATTTTGAAGCACTGGCAAAAGGTACGCAATGCTCTTCCCCGAACCAGTTTCCGAAGCTAAGAGTGTTGGATGTCGCTTGAACGACGGGGCATCGGCTGAATCTACGTCCTTTGGAATAAAATGTGTCATCGAAAGTGCTTGAATAGGTGTCGGCTTTGCGAATTTTCCGACCAAGGACTTCAAGCATTCTAGTAACCCGGGTAGGAGGGGCGGCGCTCGGAAGCTGGGCTCGATCTTTGGGCGGTCGGCGAATTCCTCTGGATGAGTAAGCTCAGTCTTGAGCTTCGTCCGTAGGTCTGTCTGGTGAGGATACCGTTTTGGGATTTCCTCCTGTCCTAGCCTTGTCGAGCGCTCGGGCTTAAGAAACTTGGACGCTCCCTGGGTAGATGCGCTGGCAGGGTCAGGCCGTTTTGTCCTCCGTAGATATCTCTCGTTTGCTGCAGCCTGAGAAGGCATCCTCCTTGGGGGCGGTAGGTCAGGTTCAGTCGTGGAGCTGCGCAATGGACGACCCTCTAACACCCCGGGCTGCGCTGTCTCAGAACGACCTGATCGACTGAACCTCGACACCGGGCCACGTCCTATTTCTCCAAATTTCGGCCTTTCGGGTCTGTCATGTCGGCTCCTCGAAGGGCCCCCCATGGGTTCCCGCCAACGAGGCTTTTGATCAGTTGATGGAGGTGAGCGCCAGTCAGATTTGGGTCCTGGACTACGCGTCCCAAGCCCCGCACTATCACCGCGAGGTCTGAATCTCGGTGGTTTGGATCCCTCTTGTGAGTGACGTCGATGACTGTCGTGTTTCGCTCGAGGCTTTCCGTTCGAACGTTTGCCTCTCAATTGATCGAGACCCGCGAGACGCTGACGCGTCGGTGTACTTCTCAAGGCTATTTGGTAAGTTTAGAGTGTGTCTTTATCGTATAGAGGAGAGCGTTCGTACGTTTGAGGGCCCTTGAAGCAGCTGTTAACCTGGATGAGGAGCAGAACGGCGAGGATGAGATTGCCCAAGAAGCATGGGATGGAAAACCGGAAGAGGGGCCAGCAGTCATACGCGTTGGCGTAATATGACTAGCGCATTTTCGAACGGAGCCAAGAAGCCTATTTAGCATAGGTAACAAAATGAGAGGAGAGGCAGATTCAAAATGGAGGTTAGGTTGGAAACGTGGGACGAATTAGTGGTGAATTTCCTTCGAGCTTCAAGTGCCTAGTCACTATGCCTGTCGACGTGAAAGAGCAAGAATTGGAGGACCGCATCGCTATACTTGAGAAGGAGGTTAATTCTGTCAAGAAAGAGCTCGAGAATCTCAGAAATACTACACACATGGAATTGCCGGTGACACGTCAGGGTTTACCATTTCCTCTACAAGACTATCGACGATATGGCAGGCAGATGGTCTTGGACGCATTCGGACTTCCTGGTCAGCTTTTATCCTCCCCCACATGCTTTATATGCTCATATTTCCAGGCAGAAAGCTCAGATCAAACTCAGGGATGCATCCGTAATCGTCATTGGAGCTGGTGGTCTCGGCTGCCCTGCTATTCAGTATCTCGCAGCAGCTGGTGTTGGTATGTGCAGTTCTTTGAATTGTATATGTCTCGCTCTCAAATTCGATATAGGCAAACTCGGTATCATTGACAACGATATCGTTGAGCTCTCCAACCTCCAACGCCAGATTCTGCATTGCGACGCCACGATTGGCTGGCCGAAGGTTAGTTCTGCAAAGCTGGAAGCGGAGAGGTACGTTTCTATAGGGTTATTTCGGCACTTCTTATTGAGGTGACGCGGTCATCAGAATCAATCCTCGGATCTCTGTTGCCACACGTCAATGCTTGTTAGACTCCGCAAACGCGAAAGATATCCTCTCTGGATACGATATCATCCTCGACTGTACCGATAATCTTCCAACTCGGTACCTGCTGTCAGACGTTGCGGTCCACCTTGGTAAACCATTGGTCTCCGGCGCAGCCCTCAAGTTCGATGGTCAACTTTGTGTGTACAATCTCGGAGAGGATGGCCCATGCTATCGCTGCCTATTCCCTAAACCATCTCCGCGGGAGGGAGAGGGAACATGTGAGGACGTTGGCGTTCTTGGCGTTGTGACAGGAGTCATTGGGACCTTACAGGCCATGGAGGCCATCAAGCTACTAACTAACCTTCATGGTCAGCCCACGTACCGATCAAATCAAAAATTTCAGAGAATAACGCAACGGACTCCTCAGACAAGGTTCCAAGCCTTCTTATCTTCTCCGCTTTGGCAACGCCTCAATTTCGATCAGTCAAACTGCGATCAAAGCGACCTGGTTGTATTGCATGCGGCGCTAATCCATTGGATCTGGGAGCAAATAATCTTGAGGCGGACTATGTTGCTTTTTGCGGAGGAGAGCGTCCCAATCTTGTACAGACTGGCGCCATAGTGAACGATTTGCGTATCAAAGCAAAGGTTCGGCATGATATCTGCGTAGAAGCGACGTTTATCAACGATTGCTCTCATACCAGGATCTCTTCAATGTCATCAGCCACAACAAGGAATCTACGACGGTCTTGGATGTCCGTACCGCAGCAGAGTTCACCATCTGTCATATACCAGGCTCGATAAGTAAGATTCACAGGCTTTCCCATTTACTGCTCCCATTGAAGTTGGGTGGATTGCAGATATCTCCATGACAGATCTCGTGCGCGACCCTTCGGCTCATTTGTCACCTAATCGGAGGGTCTTCGTTGTATGTAGACTCGGCAATGACTCACAGGTGGCAGCAGAAGTTTTGCGTCAGACGTCACCGCATCAGTGCGAAGTGAAGGATCTTATCGGGGGACTCAGAGCCTGGAGCCTAGAAGTAGACGAGAGCTTTCCAGTATACTAATACATGTCAAAAGCCCTATGACTTGCGCGTGATAGGGGGGAAGCGAGGCTTCCCCCGAGTGCTCGCATCCGTTGCATCGCCTGAGGGACGTCAGAGATGTTGACATGCCGTTGGCTTGGATTACACCCCAAGGACATCACTGATTTGTCATTGGGTATCTGGTGCCGGAACACCTGGATTGGCCTTCTTCCGTTTGGCTTCGATGAGTTTTCGTCGTTCCTCCAGGTCTCTCTTCCGTTTCTCCCCTGCTCTACTCCAGACCTTCTCCTCGGACTGACTGGGAGAATCAGCACCGTCGGCACCAGTCGCCAACCGCTCTTCCACTGTCTCGTTTCTTGCCGCCTTCAACTCCTCCATCTCCCTCCGCCTAGTCTCTTCATCCGCACTGAACTGATAAAATCCTGCACCTTTCGAGCGATTATCTTTCGATGCATCGTAGTGTTGGAGAGGATCCTTGAGAGACTCCTGCAAGTCGGAGTTGATCTTCTCAAGCCGCTCAACTGACGGCTCGTAAGTTGGAAAATGAGCTTCAGGGTTGTCTGCAGAGAGCCAAATTGTGAGCGCTAGCCTGCTGTATGTATTGAATTGCTTACATATGATGTTTGGGCTACGCGGATGGGATCACTTGTGAGAAAGGTCCCGAGGGGTGAGGTGAGAACAGCTCGAACTCACTCGTATTCCTGGTCTTGTTCGTTGGAAACCTCAGGTTCCTTCAGAAGCTCACGGGGCACTTCACTCTGTCGAGCCGTTCGAATACGACCAAATTCGTCTTGGTATTCGACTATTGGATCTTCTTCGTCCTGTCATGAGGCAATTATTAGCCGTGGTTATGATTACCAATGCGATCAGACCATCTCGACGCTCACATTATCCTTTGGCGGCTCCGGGGCGGTCAATGACTCATCCACGTCGTCTTCTTCGCTCTCAGATAGGTACCTATCTTCCGCCTTCTTATCAAACTGGAACGGGAAATATAAGTTTCTGCCTTGTTTTGAGAGGTTCTGGCGTTACTCACATCCACTAGTAACGCATCATATTGCTTATCGGTCAACCCGCCATGAAGACCTTTATTCAGTTTTTCATATATCTTGCTCTTTCGCTCCAGTGCCGCCCTCGCCGATTCTACAGTCTGTCGACTGACTTCCTCGAGCTCAACATCTCTGGCGGACCGCTCTGTTACCCCTTTATTCTTCTTGGCCCATAACGATGATTTCTACGAAGTTCAATGTATAAGTCAGATTTGGTCGATATTTGGACGCAAGACGTTATTTAGAGACACCTTTTCTGCTCGTTTCACACCACCAACGATGGGATCTGCTCTGCCCTTGCCGCTATCTTTAGCTTTCTTGAAGTCGTTCTCCTTTTTGAAGAGCTCTGACTTGAGGTCCAAGAATGACGTGGATGATGGTCCACGGCCTTTACTCATGAGAGGTGTGGGAGGGTGTGGTGATGGTTTCGCGTTGACCCTAATTTCACGGGTTGAGTTAAAAACTTTATATAGTAATTCAAAGGAAGGCCGCTAGCCAACACTAGCCCTTATAGCTCAGTGGTAGAGCGCGTCACTAGTACTTGCGGTTAAGCGGGTCATTTCCCCAATGACGAGGTCGATCGTTCAAGTCGGTCTGGGGGCATTACTTTTGCCTTTCATTGCCAAGATTGTTTGGGATTTTGTTGGTCAAGGAGATCGGATTTAATGATGCTTGAAACCGAGCACAGTAGAACGCGCCGTCTCCTCTTTTCAGGCCTCTAATCATGCTAATCTCTTTGGAGATGTGACTGGGAGAACAACGGCGTCATGCAGGGATAACCGACACTATATAGGACGTGGGATATTCTGGTACTCAGAAGGTCCCAAAAGATCTGAACAAAATGGCCCTCTACGAAATCCATCACTGCAAGTCTTAGACTCCCGATCAGAAACTGGAGCTCGCAAACTCGATGATAAGGATCCATTCTTCGCACTTTAACGCCCTGGCAGCATTCGTCCATATCGCATTCACGAACACATCCAGCAGTGTGGATCAGTTCGTCGGCGGTAAACATCAGCCAATCAATCAGATAGTAGCAGCGATCAGAACAAAGGACGACAAGGGGATGCTGGAAAAAGTGATGGCGCAGATTTGGAGTGGGTGGGAGCAGACGGTTGGCGGTACTGGATCTGAGAAGCGGAATGTGATATTCAAGACGGATGGCTTGGTGGTAGACGCAAATCCAATGGTAAGTCATAGGCCATCGTTGGGATCACCGTTGGGGGTGATACTTACAACTATGATACAAGCCTGGAGGAGACCAACAGTGGGTCAAGGAGCACGAAGCCGACTTTGATGCCAAGGCTGCAGAAAGCGATGAGCGCCCCAGAGATATATTGGCGATAATGCGCGCGAGAGGATGGCAAAAGGTTATTTTAGCCCGTTGCTACTCAAGAATATGACGAGAAAATGACAATTGAAATTATCCTTGAGTGGTCCCTCTGAGATTGTGCGCAGCGGGTCTTCTGGCAGGTTAAGCATAAGTTGAGAGGGATGGATAGTCACAGGATTGGAGCATCCACAAAAGTACGGGACACCAAATTATGGCAAGGGAGCAAGCGCTGGGTTGACTGGGATTTTACATATAATTCGCTACACGTTGCCGAGATGGTTGTCCAGGAGCACCGTAGATCACCACCACCCGAGGTCACACGAACCTCAGGTCTACACAAAGCCACTCCTCTTGCACTCAAGAGACTCGAATATAGCCCAATCGGCCTACTCTCAATCGCAAATACAACCTCTATAGTGAGTCTCTATGCTTCCTTAATTTTTGTCCTATTGTATCGCTGACCAGACCGCCAGTCCACAAAGCAATTTTTTCTCCACCTGCGAAAATGACCTCTACAGCATCGCTCCATTTTGGTCCTGAATGGATGAGGAAGCCATCCAAAGCGGCTCCAGCGTCACCGGGTCCCAACGGGAACCCGTCCAGCCCCTTCACCACCGGATCGAATCATGCAAACTCTAACTCGAATTATGGTCCTGTGCTCAATGGGACACCCGTTTCCACCCACTCCTCCAATACGGGCCAGACACACTCCTCTTACTCTTCACTTCTTGCGTCGCCTATGCAACCATCAGAGCCATCGTCTGACTCCTCTAACCCATTCCGATACTCAAAGGAGCAGATGCTTGCAGTATGGAAGAATGGCGGTGGCCATGGCGAGCTGGGACTGGAGGTGGAAAGGTGGCCTGGCATCGTCACGGAGGACGCTGGAGAACCATTAGGCTTGACGGAGCTGACGCCGGACGAAAAGAAGGTAGACCTCAACGCAGTCCTAGAGTTTCACCGAATGGGCACATTTCTGACTAGGCGCCGCTCTTCAGCTATATGCCATGCCGTACAATTCTGACCCTCCGGCACTTCGACGTCGCGGAGATTCCTACTCTGTCCATGCACCACTCCTTGCTTCAGGCGGAGGCTTCGACTCAGCGCGCGACAGAAACAAGTTGAACAGCTCCGCCCGAGGATACGGCGTCAGTGGCGTCTTGGGGAATGCGGGTGGAGCTCCCATGTCTGTCGGCCTAGGTCTTCCGGCGCGCAGAAAGAAGGACGAAAATGGTGCAGATGTTCCATTATATCGACCACGCCAACTATCGCTGGGTACAGGAATGGGACCTGCCTCACCCGTCAGTGCATCACCAGTAAGCGCCTTCGCTGGAAATCGCCCCCGCCTCGGTGGTGCTGGATTCGATGGAGTCATGGGAGACGCGTGGGGGGCAGCAGGTCGGCGAAGAGTTAGTGAACCGAGGGTCCCCACGCTCGGTGCTAAAGATGATAAGTTGGATGCACCTTGGCGGAATGGAGGGGACCCACGATTCAAGGATGAGATAATGGAAGAACCTGTGGACGATTGGGAAAACGAAGTAGTGGCAGAGCCTGGATCTCTGAAACAAGCCAACGATACGAGCATGGATGCTGATGCAGAGCAGCAGGCTCAGTCTCTTGATCCGCATCTCGCATCGACAAGTAACAGCGTCCTGACCATGGAGAATGTCCATCCTGAGAACGTACAATGGATGTATAAAGATCCCACGGGGCAGATTCAAGGTCAGTCTGAGAGTGCACATTTCTTGCCAATCAATATCTTGACGTTTTCTCCTCGTACAGGTCCATTTATGGCGTCCGTAATGCAGACCTGGTACTCAAGCGGATACTTCGCCGACGATCTCTTACTTCAACGAGTTGAACTGGATCAAGATTTCGATCCGCTCTACGACTTGAGGCAGCGGGTCATCTCGCCGGGCACTCAAGAGACGCTGTTCTTGAGCTCCATTAGCTCTAAAGTCCCTCTTCTTCCCCCCGGACTTGTTAGTGGACAGACCAGCGCTCCACCTGGGCAACAACACTTCACAACGGCGCCGCAGCACCTGAATGGTTCCGCGGCACCGTCACCTGGACATGTCTCCACTCTCATGGGGAGCTCTTCATACCATTCCTCCCCATCTGGTTCCAATGCGGCATTCACCACGTCTAATACCGACGTCAACGCGCCGTCGGGGACGACAACCGTGCGTTCAACGCTTAGCGATCTGGAAAAGCAGAAGCGGGAAAGAGAGGAGTTTCTTCGTGACTTGCGCGAGAAGGAACTCGCCAGTCAAGCTCATATCAATGCATCTGATGGTTCTGCAGATGGTACAAGCCATATAAATGCATCTGATGGTTCTGCAGATGGTACAAGCCATATCAATGCATCTGATGGTTCTGCGGATGGTACAAGCCATATCATTATGGGAGCAGGGAGAGGCATGGCGAACGGTGGCTTTGGTGGTGTAGATCTGGGTATTGGGAGCTCTGTGCTTCCAGCAAGCTTCCTCTCCGGGCAAATGGGATTTCAAGGGAATCGAAACGACTTGGGTTATCAAAACGACTTCGGAATCTCGCAAAACCACCAAATGCAGAGCTTTAACACACCGTCTTCGCTGACGTCTCTGGGCCAGCCGTCAGCTTTCTCGTCGAACCACATTCTAGGCTTCAATGAAGGGCCACTACATAATGGCAGACTTCTAGGCCAGATGTATTCGTCCGCTCCTATACATGGACATCCTCAGGCGCAGGTTTGGCCAGGTCAACAGCAACAGGGCTTGTCGAATCATCTCGGGAACTTCGCCCCTGTTGCAGCAGCGCCCAATCACAGTCACTCTCATGTCTCGACCGAGTCATCACCTTGGTACTCGATTATCGAGCCCAGCAATGCGAACCTTCCTTTGGACCACCACCACCAACGCCATGCAAGCCAGTTCCAACAACCATCAACAAACCAGGAAACGATCTCCTTCCACGCATCATCGGCGCCTTGGGGTCATCATACTGCAAGTCAGTCTGCGACCTCTAGTGGGCCGACGGATCAACACTATGGGTTCGCTTCGGAACAGCATCCGCACGCAAGCCCCCTCGCAACTACTCCGCAACCCGCAGCTGAAGCCCCAAGTGCTCAACTGCAGGTGACTCCAGATGTCAGCGTCTCCGGACAAAGAGTCTCCGACCTATTGCAATCCTTGAATCTGCGAGATTCACCTTCACAGCCACCGCAGCCTGCGGATCCACCTGCGGTCGTCCCTTCGCCTGTCACCCAGCAAGCCACTGTCGAAAAGCCAACCACAACTAGCACCGCGCAGCATGAGCCTTCCAGCGCCCAGCAACAAGGGAGCGGTAAACGTCGTGCAGCAGCAGCGGCCGCTGTCCCGGCAGGGATCATTATTCTGGAGAAACTCGCCCCCGCACCGTTTTCAGACCACGAAACGCCTGCAGTCTCTACTCCCTCGAGCGCCCGGCCAGTCTGGTCAAACTTCAGTGGCGACGACAAGTCAATCGTGGCATCTACCGTTTCCTTACGGCAGATTCAAGAGACAGAGGCGAAGAGAGCAGCAGAACAAAAGAAGGTCGAGAGGGAGAAAGCGAAGGCTGCCGCGGCCACCACAGAGACACCTTCACCACAATCTATTGTACCGACTTCAGAACTCACCGGCTCTTGGGGTCTGCCTCAGGTTGGGCGTGCTGTGCAGGTCCCAGCAGCTCCGTCTCCAGCGCCTCCGAGCACACCCGTGGCTGCGGGGAATGTGTGGTCGACCAAGCCTCCACAGGCCAGCAAAAAGACGATGAAGGAGATCCAGGAGGAGGAGGAGAGGCAAAAGAAAGTCGCAGCTCAGCAAGCTCAGGTTCGCGAACCAGGACCAGCTCAAATTGTCGCTGCACCTGTTGCTCCTGCGAAACGAGGCTACGCGGACAGCGCCAAGGTAAGGGGATCATGCGGGATTCATCTGAAAGTTAACTGACAGATGTTTTTCGTAGACATCCTCTACAACATCTGTGTCTACTGGTGTGTGGTCCACGATTGGTGCCGGTGGCAAGGTAATGGCTGGCGCTACTGGCGTTGCGCCTGCTGTGGCCACACCAACAACCCCAGCAACACCCGTCACACGGACAAGTGGCTTTGCTTCGCTTCCAGCTCGTCCAGCCACGAGCAACACCCCGCAACCCAGTCCCAACACTGCTGCGCCCAGGACTGCCGCCCAGCCTTCGAGCTCGTCGAAGGCACTTGAAGAAGTACCAACTCCTAGTCTGGAATTCATCGCTTGGATGCGTCAGGCATTGAAGG